TCTCTGTCTCTCTGTCTCTCTCTTTCTCTCTCTCTGTCTCTCTGTCTCTCTCTTTCTCTCTCTCTCTGTCTCTCTCTCTCTGTCTCTCTCTCCCTCTCCCTCTCTCTCTCTCTCGCTCTATCTGTCTCTCTCTCTCTGTCTCTCTGTCTCTCTCTCTGTCTCTCTCTTTCTCTCTCTCTCTCTCTCTGTCTCTCTCTCTCTCTGTCTCTGTCTCTCTCTCGGGAGACGGTGGTTGGGTCCCCTCCTTGGACCCATCCAGGAGGAAAGGCCCACCTTCTCTCCATGCCAGGGGAGTCTCACTGCCCCAGGGATTTTACCCCTAAGAAAATTTCCCCCAACCGGAATCTGCCTTTTGATCTCTTGGGTCCAATTTCTTTTTTTTCAAATCCTGCACTCTACCACAAGGGAGAACTGGTCTTGATGCTCTTCTTTGAGGGGTCTTATTAGACATCCAAAGGGGGATATCCTAACCCCCCCCTCCAACTTCTCTTTCCAAGGCTTAGCAGGCCAACCCGACTCTCCAATCTCCTTCCACAGCCGTCCATGCCTACCCTTATCTTACCCTCCACTGTCGTTCTCCCCACGTCACTGATCAGGATTAGGATTTATTATATTTCTATGCCGCCCTTTTCCCCGAAGGGGACTCAATTCTTAGGCTGCAATCTAGAGGCATTTACTGCATGATCTATTAAAGCAGTTAGTGGCCTAAAGAACGAGCAACACTTTATTCTTGCAAAATTTATTCTTGATAAGTAACAGGGATAGAATTCAGGGTGCTGACAGAATCAATGGCCTGTTCAGGAGCTTCTTAAAGCATCGATGCCAGGCAATCTACATGAAATGATCAACAAATCATCCTTTTTTTCTCCCTTTTTTGAAGATCTAAAGGACATTCTGTATTCTCCAATGTCCTCAATTTCTCTATTCAGAGATCAATTCATCCAAGGACCAATGGCAGAAGCCAGCAAGGCAGCGCATGGCTTTGCTAAGGAACTACAGCCAGTGTTTTTTCAAAAGCCACCTCATCTGGCTACTCATGTGAAATCTGGTCGTGAAAAATGAAGATGGGGAGGCTAAAGTATTGGGAAACAATACTTTAGCCTCCCCATCTTCATTTTTCACGACCAGATTTCACACAAGTAGCCAGATGAGGCGGCTTTTGAAAAAAGCAAATAATCCTTATATTAATTCTAAGGGATGATTATCTTCCTTATAACCAAGCAGTCATATCTTCATCACGCCAAACAGGTTCACGATAAGAACTCAGGTTTACATCAAGCCTTTGCCAGAGGTGCTTTTCCAAAAATCAGCTGGACTTCCCTGGGGTTTTTTTCCTTGAAAACCTTTCACTTCTCATCCAAGAAGCCTCTTCAGTTCTTTCCATTGTCAAGGGGAAAAAAACCCAAGGAAGTCAAGTTGACTATGGGAAAAGCACCTCTGGGACAACCAGGGGCCCTGATGATGGGACAAGCTCCGTGGACGTCAAACCTTTCCCAATT